CATCTGGTTGGGGGGTGTCCAGGTGTTGAGATGGGGGGCATTCACAGCGTCCTAGGTTGCTGAGAGCACTTAGTAACCTGGGACTCTCTGTCTGGCATTATGCCCAGCTCTCTGATGTCACCAGTTGTCTAGAGCTGGCTTGCGTCCCGCTGAGCTTCTGGCGCCCAGTGACGTCAGTGAGCTGGGCGGGATGGTAGACAGAGCCTCTGACAGTGCAGTTTGCACCCCCCTACCACCACACCTCCCTGCCCTGGAGAAGCAAGAGTGAGTAAGTGCAAAATCCCTGTCAACACCCCCCTACTTTGCACACTCTGTGACCAAAAGGCCAAAAGTGGATACTTGACCTCCACACCTTTATGAGCTTGTTGGACTTCCCATTCCAACCATGGCCATTAATATGTAGTTGTAGTCATGAGAAGACCTGGCTCACAATCAGCATGTCAATTCATCCCAAAGGAGTTCAGTAGGGTTGAGGTCAGGGCTCTGTGCAGGACACTTAAGTTCCTTCACCCCAAACTGGTCACACCATGTCTTTATGGAACTGTGCTCCTATGTTCCATAAGGTGTTCCTATGTTCCATAGGGTTGAGATCAGGGCTCTGGTGTGGAGGAACTTGAGTGACCTTCACAAGCTGGTGAAACCATGTCTTTATGGTGCTGGCTTTGTACACAAGGGACAAGTCATGGTGGAACAGAAAAGGGTCTTCAACAAACTGTGACAAAGGCTGGAAGAGCACAATTGTCTACAATGTCTTTGTATGATGGAGTATTAACAGGACTCTTTATTTGGGAGGGGGGCTCACATACTTTTGGCCATAGAGGTAGGTGTAATACTTACAGGTGAAACTCGAATAATTAGAATATCGTGCAAAGTTCATTTATTTCACTAATGCAACTTAAAAGGTGAAACTAATATATGAGATAGACACATTAAATGCAAAGCAAGATAATTCAAGCCGTGATTTGTCATCATTGTGATGATTATGGCTTACAGCTCATGAAAACCCCAAGAACCCCAAATCCACAACCTCAAAAAAGTAGATTATTACATGCAATCAATAAAACAAGGATTGTACATAGAACAATATCGGACCTCTGAAAAGTACAAGCATGCATATGTACTCAGTACTTGGTTTGGGCCCCTTTTGCAGCACTTACTGCAATTACTTTTGCACGATATTCTAATTATTCGAGTTTCACCTGTATGTGTCAACACCACATGTTGGGTTCGCATCACTGTTGGAGATGGAAGCTCATCATATCATCGTATTCAGTAAGGTTGAGGTCAAGGCTCTGTGCAGGACAGTCGAGTTCCTCCACACCAAACTGGTCACACCATGTCTTTATGGAACTGGCTTTGTACACGGGGGGCAGTCATGGTGGAACAGAAGAGGATCTTCACCAAACTGTAACCACAACTTTGGAAGAGCACACTTGTCTACAATGTCTTTGTATGATGTAGAATTACCAGAACCTTCACAGGAGACACCTGAGCTCCATCATTTGGAGACATGTACCATGTAGTAGTAGGTGTGATGGTCAGGTGTCCACAAACGTTTGGCCAGATAGTGTATTATCTGTGTTGTGTATTTGTCTCATACCTGATTCTTGATGATGTCGCTTAGTTTGTACTGCACTGTGGAAGATGATGGCACTAAATAAATATATGTATAATAAAAGTTATGTCTGTATGTGTAATGGATAACAAATTGTCTCCCCTCCCCCTCAACACTCTTCTGTCTTCTTATTTCCCTCCAGGAAAACAGAAATACCTTTGTGCCAGCCGAAATGACTGCACCATCGACAAATTCCGGAGGAAAAACTGTCCGTCGTGCCGTTTGCGAAAATGTTACGAGGCTGGCATGACATTAGGAGGTAAAATATATGAAATATTCATTCTCTCAAAGTATGTGCAGACCATGCCATGAACATGTATCACTGTGTCATTAAATAAGTTCATCCTAAGCCATAACTTTTTATTATTATTATTCAGATTAAAATGCTGTTCAGCCAACCTTGTGACCATGATAAGGCCTCAGACACAGTGCCCCCATGCTGGAATACAAAAGTGTAAAGTACATATTCCATCACCCTTCATCAGGGCTACAAATTAGACAAGAAAGTGTATATAGGTGGTATAGGAACATAAATATGTAGGGATATACAGTACAAAACTGAGGAGCCACGTACAGACTGGGCCGGATTTCCCACCAGGTCAACCAAGGCCCGGCCTTGGGGCAGCAGGGAATAGAGGGGCAGCAGTGATGTGGAATTCCTATCTCCCGATGCCCGGAGCATGCAGTTCCAGGCGCCGGGCAAGTAATTATTTTCTACATTTAGCCCTGCTTTGGGCAAGCAGAGCTAACTGTACAGCAGGGAAGCCGCCACTTGTTTTGTACAAGTGATCTCGGCGATGTCACTGAGATCACTTGTATGAAGCCTGCAGGTCTGCCATTCTCCATTGGGGGGGGTGTGGCGGGTAGGGGGACGCATTGAGGTACCTGGCCTTGGGGAATAAATGCGGCCCTGGGTACAGATAGGGCATGTGTGAAGGAGATATAAAAATGTAGCTGTAAAAGTATTACAAATTCTATTAAAAACTAATAAAAATTTTAAAAAGTACAATTATATATTTTTAAATAACATGTAGATCCCTACTCTAATCAAAATGAAAAAAAGAAGGCAGTCTTTAGGTTTGCCATCCACACGGATGTATGCTGGTAGATTGTAATCCGCTCAGGGGAAAAAAACGATGTATTACTTTCTTGTAATTGTACAATTTGACATGCTATTCTTTATTTCTCTTTTTGTTTATTTCTCTTTTGTTTACATGTGACATGAGTATATGATATTCTTTTACGCTTTGGCATTTGATGTTTTACTGGAAACTCAATAAAATGTTTTTTTTTAAAAATAAAAAATAAAAAAATAATATATAATATA